TTTTTTTTCTCGTAGACCCCTTTCAAAAATTTACTGATTTCGGTGGACACCCTACTGATACATTTCTAAATATTCCCAATGCTCGTGAAAAAATGAAATGTGAAGATTAGATCTAACTATGTAAATTTGCATCGCGGGTGAAATCAAAAACTAAACTCAGAGCATCCAAAATAAAACTAAAATATTTTCTTTCTATTATTTTTTATTTCTTTTAAAATAATGTGATTACACACTTGCAGGTTTAAAAAAAAATAGAGCTCGTAAATCTATCAAAATACTCCCTCGCTCTGAGGAGTTATATTTTTTAAGATCACTTCGAGCCCTAGCGTTATTTACATTATCTTCACCCTAAACTCGTCAAGTGTTTGGCTCACTCATGACTTTGTACGTGGAGTATTTGTAAAATAGTTTATTTGTGTTGATGGCCTCATTTTTATTTTAATCGCTCCGAGTTTTAAAGTTCTAAAACACAAAACTTAAAACAACAAAACGGCTAAGCCTTTTACGCCAAACTTTTAATTCAGAATCTGACAATAGTGAAAAGAACGAGTCTAGAAAAATCGATGACAAACAACCAAGCAAGCACAACAAGTGTTCCACCGTCCCATCCTCTTCAAGGCAGGATGGACAAATGGACTTGTCATTTACCGTCAGGAGTTTGTGCCACGTGTAATGATGGTTGCTTCGATGGCCGAAAATGTGCGCTAAAACTGGTTGCGGCCCGAGGAATACCGGGTCTGAGCCAATTCTGGCCAAACGGCCAGATGTCTCATTACCAGGTACTCCTGTGTGACCTGGCACACAGTAAAGCGAGCTCGCTATGTTTACCACCATTTTTTAGTCGACACTTGCATTGTCGAACCAGTTTGGAAGTAGTTAGAGGGCTGGCCAATGCCTTAAGTGCAGCTTGGTTGTCACTGCAGACACGTAAACTCCTCCCTCTCCACTTATGTTCCACCACGTAGTCTATGGCTTTGAGGATTGTAATTAACTCAACCTGGAAGACCGACGCATATTCAACAACAGAAATGTGAGGCTTATCCCTATTAACTTCGAAAAAGACCCCAGCTTATGACCCAGAGTCAGCATTGGACCCAAAAGTGAAGATTCGACAATGTGTGAGTCCGATCTCAGTGTTGGAATTAAAGCAGCATTCAGTCTCAGGCAGAGGTCGAAAATAACCGTCACTAAGTGTCTCGTATGGTGGTTACCACTGACACAAACACCCATCTCTCAAGCAAAGAGTGTTTCTCATCGTGGCAAATCGCTATGTGCGATCTATTTTTGTTTTCCGTTGTGGGTTACTTATCAACTGCTAAAATTTCCCCTGGGCAAAAACACTTTGGCAGGGACTCTTATTTTTAAGTGTCTTAATTTGTGCGATATTGTAGGACTGAAAAATATAAATATATATAAGCGTTAGTCATTTCTTTACACGACATATACAGTATCGGTCATATCTATAGCACGCCATTTCCAAGTGATATTGTGTGCCCCTTATGTTTATTTATTTATTTTTAAGAATTTTCAATTAAAATTTAGTTCATTCTCAGACCAACCCCATATATACCCAAGATCAACAATTCGTAGAAAACTACAAAAAAAAATTAACAAATTTTTTCCCGGACGTGTTAGAATTTTTTTGAGTACACAGTTTTTTAGCCCCTGCAATTTTAGTCTGATAATGTGCAAATTTAAAGTGGCTACGAATTACCGTTAATTTTTTAGAATTTTTTAGTCGCATTGGCTTCCATATAATGAATAAACTCAATTTATTTGTATATGGAAGAAAACAACAACACCTTTGGCGAAAAAAATTCTAAAAAATCAACGGTAACTTTTAGCCACTTATAAAAATCCCGAAGTAGTCCCGAGGATCCCGAAAATCTTCAAGAAGTCTCGAAAATCCCGAATTAGTCCCAAAAATCACGAAGATTTTCGTAGAACTCGAAGTGGGAAGATACTTGAATATCTTATTTGCGTTGCATCAAAAAAGTATTATTTAGTTGAAAAATTACAAATCAAATTGATTCGCTCTACAAATCAAATCAAAAATTTTTATTTCTTATTTGGTTGACAAATCAAATCACAAATAAATTTTATTTTTTATTTGGTTAACAAACCAAATCACAAATCAAATATATTTCTTAATTGATAGCGGATTTTAAATCAATAAGGATTTAAAAGCACGCAACCCTGCCACCCATGACCATGACGTTGACGTCGCTTATGTATATCTCTATCAACAGCAAATTTGATATGTTTCTACGTACTTCTACGGTACCCTGCGTACACGTTCGTGGGTAACCGCGCTCTAACACTTATTTTCCTCTTCCAGCGATAAGTGTTTGTGTCCAATAGCAACGGAAAAAGATATGCAAATAACCCTTTCCCACTGAGAGAAGCACACATCTACAAAAAATAAACCACATGTTCTGTTTTGTGGGTTATTTTATCTCTTAAATAGGGACGGTTATTTTGGGGCTTTTTCAAAGTGTTGAGGGATATTTTCGACCTCTGGTCTCAGGGAACTCAACATTAAATCTCTTCAACAAAGGCAATGGTGGCGTACTATCCTATAGCATTGAAAATACAAAAGTGCTTAGATCTCTGCCGCCAGCAATTTCCGCCGCGCCTCACTCATTGTTATGCCAACATTCGGTTATTTTTAGTCTGCAGGTGGCCTTTAATACCATGTTCTGACCGACACGAAAACTGGGTTTCGTTTGACAGATTTTACATGGACGAAAACACAAGTTTTAGATTGAAAACCCGTTTTAGCAACGAAAACATGTTTTCGATGTCGATCCGAACATGGTATAAGGTTTCCCACGTATGAAAACACAAAGCGACGGTAAGTGCAGCAGTGCGTCAAGAGCACTATATACCACTAAAAAAAAAAATAAAGTTAAATAACGAATATCGAAACCAGACAAATTTTCGTGGACCCCCACTTACAACTCATGAACCCCCATATTTTTTTCACGCCAACACAGTCCCCCTTCGAGTCTCCCGTGGATCCCTGGGGGTCCACCTGGACCACTTTGGTAATCACTGATCTAGATAGAAAAAATACAAAAAATATAACCTTAAGCAACAGCAGATGTACATATCAGGGTTGTTGCGAATATTATTCCGAAATAAAAGTCCTTTCCGGATAATAAACAAACCGCTTATCCAAATTAAACAAGTTTGGTATCAAATGAAAGAGGATGTCTAAACGACGTATTGAAAAATATTTCAATAAAGAAAGTTAATTAATTACCATAAAACAAATCTTGTGTCAGGTATATGCATTTCTACAGTATTAAAAGATAAAAAAATATAAATAGAGATCGTTCTCTATTTCTGTTTAAAAGCTATTTCAGTCCTCTTTCATATGATAACAAAATTGTTTAATTTGGACAGGTGGTTTGTTTATTATGCGGAAAGGACTTTTATTTCGGAAAAATATTGGTTATGAGACAAAATAGATACATATATAACGTAAGTTTCACTTCTCCAGCGTGGCCCGGGTGCAAGGACTTTGCAAGATTTCGGGAATACTCCTATTAAAAGCGGAAAGTTATAAATATTAGTAAATAGGGCGTAACAGCCTCCAAAAATATTTTATTTATACATATCACTTTTTATGCATCTGGCAACTGAGGTGCTATATTGGCAACTGCATTTTTGTGGTTGCCGCGGAAATTTTGATGGAGAAAATTTATTTATTTAGTCTTGCTGCGGGTACTTCAAAAATCTTGTATCCTCAACTTTATATCACTATAGTGGCTAACCCCTGCCAATTTGAGTCAAAGCAAGCTTGATTGAAACTCACTCGGAACTCGGAAGTGAATTGCAGAACCTGCCTGAATATAAACTTTCATTTAAGTAGCAACCCAAATGAGGTTGCATTGATATTCCGAATCTACCCACGACGTTCCGAAATATTTTGTAAAATTTTGCTAGCATGATCTCTAAATCCAAATATATTTATTTCATTTATTAAATGTATAACCATTAGTACAATAAGATATAATCTTTTATAGTATACAACAAATTGCTGATATAAATATAGACAAAGAGAAAAGCATACATTCATACATTTGCAAACTTAAGAATAAAAACAAGGACAAATAAATAAACTAACATTATAATTATAATCCCTAAACAATAAAGATTAAGAGTACTAAGGAATACGATAAGAAATAAAAACATACAAAGATAGAAAATAAATTAAGAATGTTGATAAAGATTGATAGGTAAAGATAGATGGCCAGTACATTCAAAACATTATTTCTTAAAATGTGCGTAAATAGATTGCTTAAAGTTGCTTTTGCTTAGACTACTTCTATATTTATGTACATATATTCTGAGTTGAAGTCAAAGGGAGTTTGAATGAAATTCACCCGGAAGTGAATTTCAGAACCTGCGTGAATATACATTTTCATTTTTAACCTAAATGAGGTTGTGTTGATATCCACAATCGACTCATAAAGCGACGCCCCGAAATATATATATATATATATATATTCAAATTTTTACGTCAGATTTCCTACTATAGACAAAGATATCACATCTAAATTTTGGATTCAGATTCCTCTTTAGAGACTCAAAAAATTTAAATTAGTAATTTTTTTTTTCATATAATACCCAAAATCGTTTTTACCATAGTCGAAGATATCACATAAATTTTGGTCCTGAATGAAGTCGGTTAAGGCATGTCGTACAGGGGGTCAAAGTTTAGATTACCCTATGAAGACGTCTTAACCGACTCCAATCGCACCCAAAATTTATATGTGATATCCTGGACTTTAGTGGCATCGATTTTGGATATTAAATGAATAAAAAATTATTTTTAATACTGAAAAAAATCGTTAATTTGATTTTTTTAAGGACCACCCTAACGTACATATGTACGTACATATATTGCTGAATTAGCTCGTTATTACAATATTACAATAATTAATATTTTGAAATAGTTTTGATATCCTTTTTCATTTCTCTGTTTGTTGTAGAGGATGGACCAAATTTGCCAACACGTAGTAACGAAGAGTTTCGGCCGTTCATTCGAAGACTGCCGGAATTCAAATTCTGGTTGTCAATCACGAAAAGTACAATCATTGGTCTGATATGTACATTCTTTGACTTTTTCAATGTGCCCGTTTTCTGGCCCATCCTTGTGATGTATTTCATTACACTCTTTTGCATAACGATGAAGCGACAAATTAAGGTAAAGTCACTCGTAAAATCGTTGATTGTTAAATTTAAACTAATTTTTTTGTTGTTGGTTTTTGTTTGCAGCATATGATTAAGTACAAGTATTTGCCATTCACCCGCAACAAGCCGCGCTATCAGCGTGTTGGTGAGTCACCCCCAACGACAAAGTGACAATTAGCCGCACAGACACTGCAAAAAACAAACGACAGCCAATCGACAACGGGTATTACGTCGATACATGAGCAAAGAACAGCAACTACAACATCAACTGTAGCTACAGCAGCGACAACAACGATTGCCTCAGCGGCAACATCATCCATACTATCAACTGCACCTTTGGCAGTTGCGTCTACGATAACAACAGCAAGCGTAGCAAAACCACCGCAAATTATAACTATTGAGTAAATTCAACTAAAGTACCACTACAAAAACTGAATTATAAAAATGAAAAATTCAAAGCAGCTACAAGATTTAAATTTCATTAAAATTAAATTCGATCAGTCCTTTTTAATTTCTTTTTGTAACATAAATTCAACCATACATAACAAACACACAAACAACCCATGCAACAAATATTATTCACCACCGCAATACTATTTATACAAAAATAATAAATCCAATTGTACGTTTTGGATTCCTTCAAATATTTAATAATTTGCGCGCGTCAAGTCTTATACATTTTAATATTATATTATCTTGACACATTTGTTGTTTGCGTTTGCTTAGTTTTTAATAAAAATAATTGTTGTTCTTAGCCACATTAACGATTTAAAATCCTACTAATTTGCCTTTCAACGATAAACCGATAAGGTTTTCGGTGAATCAGTACTTGGTTTGGCTCTAAATCGTTGATGTTTATTGTCGTGCGGTGTCCTGTGCAACATATTTATATGGTATTGTCTTACTTTGTCTAATATTATTAAGATTATTCTTCCTTCTTACTCCTAAATTTTTTATTTGTATGCAACGTTAATTTTATTATTATTTTTAGTTTGATTTGAGCGGGTCATTGATCGAGACACATGCTTCATTCATACAAATCACTCTTGTAACTTTATTGACTGTATTTGAATAGCGAGCAAAAAACTACTTCAATATCGCAGAATGAAGTGACTATCGAGTAACTCCGACTTTGGAAAAAGCTGTTAAAATCCTTTTGTAATTTGGATCCTTTTTAGTTCAATTTAATTTCCTTAAAGTTAAATTTAATTTCACTTTACACAATTTGGTAATGTTTTTCCGTTATATATCCTAATTAATATTTAAATGTATGCAAATGTTATAATTATAATTAAATATGCCTAGCATAGACATTTATAACCTATTTTGAACGTAAACATATTCTAACATAGTGCTTATACCATATACTTATACATAGAAAAGTAAGTGTATACATATATGGAAGCTATTAATTTAGATTACCATAAATGTTGTTTTAAAAATGGTAAAGGCGAAATAGATTGATTTAAGACAACTTTGTCGAAACTCACAGTTGCACGGCCATTTTCGCAGAATTTTAAAACTTATTTAACATGAATTTGCTGAAAAGTGTAAAGATTCATGTGGTTTATAAATTATGTAAATTTACTAAAATTTTTGTTTGTAATTAAGTAAGTTTGTTTTTCCAAAATTTACAAGAACTTCAAAAAACAGTTTTGCGCCGAATTTTGTGATTTGCTGACTGTAAAATACTTAAACATGAATTTCAAATCAATATCAACACACATACAAACACATGTAAGTGCATCGTGAGTGGCGAAGTATGGCATAACAGTTTTCGATTGTAATAATTAATACCAAATCATTTGAATAAAATATAAATAAAATACTTTAAGAGACCAGTAATGTGCTTTTTAGAAACCAAGTTGTGTTTTACATTCATTTCGTTGTAAAACACATAGACATACTTATACCTTAAACATAGAATATAATAGTTATCGACCGGACATAAATCTTCTAATTATGATAGCCAGGCACGAACTACATAGCGTCACCTTCCATAGACCTTATTTGACAAATTTGAAATTTTTCAGTAGGAGCACTTTTTAAATTTACATACATTTATGCACGTACCCGTTATATACATATACAGTCAAGTTAAACATTCAAGATTGCAATAATTCGCATAAAGCTGAGAAAACAGTTAATCAAGGGCCAAAGGTCACAAATTGCTTTTTCGCATTTTTCAACCAAACGATAAGACCATATAATTATCTGTAAAAACTGTTATGACACTTATGCCCCAAGTATTACCATTTCTGAGACATAGCGATTCAAAAAGTTGTGTTCACCATAATATGTACGATTTCCACTCTACTTGTGAGGCTTACTCCACAACTGATTATGATCCTGTTTAAACAAATAATACTGTATGAAATAAAAATAGTTAGTACCACTGGAAGTAATGAAAGCGGTGTGAATTAAAAGTAATTAGAGAAAACTATTTATGTATTTAATAATATTTAATTGCTATAGCTTACAAAAAATCCTACCTGTGGCACTTGACCATCTGAATCCAAATATGTAGTTAGAATATAAGAGGCTACATAAAATAGTTTTTGAGATGTAGCCAAATTTAATTGCAGTTTGTTTTTCATATAACAGGCCAATCTCGAATTTCCATTTACAGTAGCGAAACTTATTGAATTTCCTATTAACTATAATTTCCAACCAGATTAGTGGTTTAGGAGCTAATCATTGATTTTTTTTTGCATAACTCCTGCAACTTTAGCAGCCCAGTTCTGCAATCCGATTCGAATCGGAATCCGATTTATTTCCGATTGTTGGTGTTCTGCATTCCGACAATCGGATATTATATCCGACTCCGCCTTGTTCTACATTTCGATCCATTTCAAATCGGAATTCTATCGGAAATTTGATGTTCTGTATTCCGAGTATCGGACATTTTTTATCGGAAATATACCGATCAAGTAAAAGCCAGTGGAACAGAAATAGAACAAAACAAAAATATAAATATAACTGATCAAAGGAACATTTTAAACTTTAGCGAACACGAAAAATGTAAGTGAACGAATTAAAATGGGTAATCGTTATAATGAAAAAAAAAAATAATAAAAAAACAAGTAAGAAAGTCTAAGTTCGGGCGGAGCCGAACATTAAATACCCGGCGCAAGTATTAAATATATGTTTTTTCACCGTTCCGAAACCTTCCGCTAGATGGTAAGCCGGGGTGTATCAATTTTGAGTAAATTAGCGTCCTTCAATTTCGAAATATTGAAGTTTCAAGCACTTCTGAAATTTACCGTTATATGAGAAGCGGCCGTTATTTTAGTCCGATTTCAATAATTTTCAACGTTTTGCTTATATGTGGCAAGCACAATAACCACACCGAGTTTGGTACAAAATGGTAGAACGGTTACCGATATACTTATATGTGATCATAAGTGGGCGGTGCCACGCCCATTTTCCAAAAATTTACCATAAACGTATTTCTTGGTAAAGAATTGTTGCAAGCATCAATTTTGAATAAAGTAGCTTCAATATTTACTGATTTATCGAAGATTTTGTATTTCTCTAAATTACCGTTATATGGGATGTGGGCGTGGTTATTGTCCGATTTTAAAAAGTTTCGGCCATTTGGTATGTTGTGCGAAGGCCAACAACTGTGCCAAGTTTGGAAGAAATTGGTGCAGCGGTTACCCAGATATACACATGTAACCATAAGTGGGCGTGGCTACGCCCATTTTCCAAAAATTTATAATATTCTTATTTTTCGTCTAAACATTATTGTAAACATCAATTTCGAGTGAATTATCTTCAGTAGTTACTAAAATATCGCAGTTTTCGTATTTCTGAAAAGTACCGTTATATGGGAAGTGGGCGTGGTTAAAGTCCGATTTCGCCCATTTTCAATACCAACCTACCTTGGATTAAGGGAAAGCTACATACCAAATTTCGTTGAGATATCTCAATTTTTGCTCGAGTTATCGTGTACACGGACGGACGGACAGACAGACATGGCTTAATCGATTTCTTTTTTCTTCCTGATCATTTATGTATACATTTGTCTATATCTATCTCGATTCGTTTTGGCTGTTACAAACAACCGTTATGTGAACAAAATTAATATACCCTTGTGCACAAGTGCGCTCGGGTATAAAAATTAAGGAGTTGGAGCTAGAGCGTTTCGAATTTGAAAATAGTAAAAAGTCTTTAAATGTTTTTGTTTTGCGTAAATCTATTGTTTAATTACAAAACTCCTTTTAATTAAATAGGAGTAATTTTATGCGCAATTTCGTACCCAATTACTTGTGCAACACTTTTCAAATAAATTTCTGTTGGTGCAAATAAATCTACTTTACAATCTACATACTTCGCCATCATTTTCTTCAACTTCTTCATAGTCAAATTCAGGATTGTAGTGGCGAAAAATGTTATGCAGGCAACACATTTATTAATTATTTTCACAACCTCTCATAGTTTGTACTGCAAGGTTACTAATAAACACTGAAAACGCCTTTTGGGAACTCCAATATTACGTGCCGAGGAATGTGTTTGATTAAATGCAGAAAATAAAAGAAAAGGTTCTAGAGCATACCCGGCATCGTCCAATAACCCCAGTTTATTATCGTTACGTATATCACAGACTCCATGCACACAAGATTGTGTCAGTAACGTTGGCAATGGTACGGTGCTCCTTCCCAAAGCGATGTTGGTTGTTGTTGTTGTTGTAGCGGCTACAACAACCCCGCCCAGATCGGTTGATATCTCAGTCGTTGTCGTCAAGTTCCACTAACGGCAGCCCTAAGAAACGTGCAGCCTATACAGGGTCGGTCCACAGGGACAAAGTCGTTAGGGTTTCCGGGCATGCGAAGAGATGTTTCGAGTCGTGAGGGGTCTCTCCGCATGCCGGACATTCATTTGGCACATCCGCATTTAGTCTACTCAGGTATGAGTTTAACCTGCTGCAGTAGCCAGAGCGAAGTTGGGCTATTGTTGTTCTTGTCTCCCGAGGCAGATGAAGCTCCGTCACGTCAATGTCCGGAGGTTGTGTGCCAAGAACGGCATTCACAGGTCTAGAGTCTACATAACTCGAGACTGAGTCCCTGTGAATGCCGTTCAGGGCCTGTCGGTATGCTGACGGGTCCAGAGGCTGCTTAATGAACCTCTGGACTTCGTCCGTCAGTTCGTATAGATGCCTCCTGACGTGCCTAGGAGAGGCCTCCTCTGCAAGCAGCATCTGTGGCTCCCAACCAGAAACTGCTTGCAGAGCATTATGTTATGCTCCTTGATTGGGAGCATTTTCGTCTCGTCAGACGACATCAGGAGGCATCCAGTCGCTGTCCTGAGTGCGGTGTTCTGTACTGTCTGTAGCTTCATCCACTGCGTCCTACTAGTCCCCGGCGACCCCCCGGTGCTGCGTAGTTTAAAACCGGCTGGCCTATTGCCTTGTATGTCGCCAGCAACGTTTCTTTGTCTTTGCCCCAAGTACTGCCGGCTAGCGACTTGAGGACCTTGTTGCGGCTCTGTACTTTGTTGACAATAGCGGTTGCGTGCGCAGAGAAGGAGAGCAGGCTATCGAATGTTACTCCGAGTATTTTGGGGTTATTCACCGTCGGAATTGGTGTATCATCGACGTGAATTCCCAGGGGTAGCCTGACCTCCTTCGTCGATGTTGGTCCATTCGCTTTGCTGCCAGGAATGGATCTATTTGCGTACATAAGACTGCAAGTCACCCAAAATAGCAAAAGAGAAAACAGCTGCTATAACTTCTACAGCATAGACTTTTTTGCTTTTTAAATTTTTCCTAATAAACCAATCGTGGTACAAAGCTCAATAAAAATATTAAAAAATAAAATGTTAATAAGCCACAATAACATTGACAAATACGAGTAAACAGTTGTTTGCATACTACTTGCACAGAGTCCGGTAATTATATGAGATTGCTGCGATCAAGCAATATTGTTTGCCTCACTTTTTCATTTGTTTGCTGCTCATTATTGAACAAATCAGGTAATAAAACCATTGAACTCATTTTAGTTTTCACTTTTTAATTTCTTCAAATTCAAATCTTGATACTTCAGAACGCAATTGACAAGTAGGAGGTTTGTTTCTTTTTTCCTACAAGCGGGTTCGATATTAACTTCGAAACAAAAGTTCCGATCGGATTGTGGAACACCATTTAAATTCCGAGTTATGTTTGGCTTTATTAATCGTTTTCGCGAGCGCTACTGATAACGGAAACTGCAAACGTTTAAACTGAAATCGTGTGTTTGTTGAAAATTTGTGGTATCAATACTGATTGTCCTCTGGCCCCGCCAGTGATGATGGCGGCTTGCACAACATGTCTTTTCAGCTCAATTGTGCATAGTCTTGTGCCATTGCACATTAGGTAAAATGATTCATTTGGCTGTGCGAAAGCCCAATTTCGTAAAAGCAGTTTTACATTATTTTTTGTTGCTATTCTGTAGGGAATACTCCAAAATAACAGAAACTTCACTTAGTTTTTGTAAAATAAAAAAACACGTTAGACAGCAATAAACCAAAGTTACACTTTCAAAACGTTATTGATACGATGTTTGAGCAACCGGTTTATTTTGTAAGTTTCAAGTGCATTTGTTTTTTTTTTTTAAGTTCGAATAATTAAGGGAAAATTTTAAATGGAAAACAAAACTATTAATGAGAACCTATGTACCAATTTAAAACAGTGACTTTTTATCATTTGTTTGCAAAAAAAAAACTGACTTATTTGCATAACCTCAAACATTTTCTGATTTATTCCAATTTATGATTTTATATAAGCTTTTACAATTTTGTTAACTTTCGGCAAACAAAATGGAAACGGAAATGGATAAATTGAGATATAATGAGTTGATTTTAT